AGTTGCTTTGACTATGAAAATATGGACTGCTAGTTACTCCCACTTTTCTTATCTAACCCGTGTATAAGGATATGTATCCAACATCTTTCGAGATTTTGGCCTCGCTCTGTGTGGCAAATTGTGGGAAATTCAAAGTACGTAAGAAGGATGCAAGGATTAGATCCGTAAAACTGCAGACTGGAGTCATTTATGTCCCCTTTTTATATTTCCTCGATTCGCAGCCTTCCACAAAATAATATAACATCATTTTTATATATTTAATTTATTGTCAAAGATTCAAGCCGATATCATGCATTGAACAACACGCACACTATTGTATGGATTAGTTCCCGGCCTCGTTGCCACACGGTGTCGTTACAGATCTTGGATACCAAGTCAAGTTGGCTTTAACAGTCCATGTTTTCATAGTCAAAGGTAAAAGACTGTATAATGCTGGATTCACACTGGGCCCGATTTCCGACGTACAACGTCCAATATCCAATAAGAAAAATTGTTTTATATAAGGACAGTATTCATAGTCATTTCTTATATTTAAGATTGTCTTAAGTCGTCGTCATCGTCGTCTTAAGATACTAATATGGCTTTTTGATTGGTTCGTAGCATTTTAAGACAATATTTAAGACAATCTTAAATATAAGAACGGACTATGAATACCGGCCTAAAACAATCTCTCCTTGCTTTAGGGATTGAGAGTTAAAAACCGACCAATAAGCAGTTGCATATTAAACCTATCCGGCGAGCTACTTTACTGTGATTGGTTGATCTCCTATACCCAACTCGCAGTCGCAGTGTAAAATGGTCTAACGGAAATACATTTTTGAATGCATTCTCATTTTCATTCCTGTCCTTCACCCACGCAGTCACAGCGTCTAGAGCGTAACATTGGAGCGCATAGTTGTTCCACGTGTTGAGTTCAATACAGAGTTCAGCAAATTATTCCAATTTTAAGGTACATAATGTGCATAATTTTTAATTCTTTTTCCCGAATTTAAAATTACGAAGGAGCAATATAATAGTAGCATGCGAATAATTAATATGAAAAGCAATTGGATCTAAATGATCTCCATCAATCCGACATTTTCATTGTTAAACATTAAACTTGGATATATGGCAAAGTTAAATACTAATTTATTTTTAATTTATTATCTCAATTTCAAATTTATTGTTCTAATGCATACACAGGAACTTAATATTGAAAGTGAGAATGTTGGTTTAATCGTTCCCTACCACGTGGATTGCATACACCATACGTCGAACTTACCGTTTTATTTGATTCTTTAAGGGGGGAGCCTCGTGTAACCGGTTAAAAAAATTGAAAAATTTTTTTTTGCTTTAATCAATAGCAATCCATGTAGAAAATATATTCCCAAAGTTACAAAACAAAATTTGAAGTTTTAAGGAGTCCACAGCCTATTTCTTGCGCGCAGATATACAAGCGCGCGGCGGGGCGCTTGGTCAACGGTACCATAAGATATAAGATTATAGAATTTGTAACTGTTTTTGGCGCGTTTTCGGAAGTACTTATTTGAGAGTGCAATTTGGAGAGTGCAAGCAAAGTGTGAAATTCGAAGAAGCAAGAAATCGGAGCCTCAGTTTTAAACTTGTTGTTACACTTTTCTTTTTTACTTTTCAATACCAAAAACTTTAAACGCGTTTTTCTCGAAACCAGTTTTTGGCAATTGGCGGGAAAGATTACTCAAAAACTATTCGATCAATCGAGTTGTCCCTGTGTATACATGTAGTTTAATAATATAAATTGTCGATGAATCTATAAAATTAGTAAAATAATTAATTTAAACAATTTTTATTGCATAAATAAGGTGACATTTTGTGGGTCAAAATCGCAATTTTTTTTTGAAGTGTTGCCATTTTTTCAATTTTCAACTTTTTACTTATTTTTTAGGTTCATCGACTAGATAATTTCATAGAAAAGAAAAACTTTTTTTTTGGTTTTAAACGAGTGCAAAAGACGCTACAACTCCCGCCAATTCACAACTCCAGTGACGAGGCTGCGTCAACATTTGTTTATAGTGGCTCTATAATCAATTATTTTTAAACAAAAAAAATTTTTTTTTACTTTTTAATATATGTTATAAAACACTAAAAAGTTTTAAAAAGATCCGTTGCATTGTTTCTTAAAAAAAAATTCTTAAAAATCACCTTTGTTTTAGCGATTCATACGAGGCTCCCCCCTTAAATCAAAATTTGCTTTAACTGTGATAACTGTAATCAAATTGATAATATTGTGTGATCAAAATGATAACTATGTGCCGCATTTGTGTTTAACATGTTTGAATACAATGCATCTAAAAAAAAAAGTATTTTTGTTAAAAATGTTAAAAATTTTGTTAATAATGATTTATGCAATCTTATAAATATTATAACGCATATTTGAATTTGATATTTATATTATATCTATGATCAGTCCGTTAAATCGTTGGACGAACAATTTGAACGAAAAGAAAATGCCCTGAACTTTTTCTTCTGATTCATCCCTATTATACGCTCAGGTCATTTTTCTATTGTAAAGGATACTGACCTGCCTATTCATGTCTATTCTGCCTATTCATGTGTTAGCAATGCCACATGCCCATGTTTCAACTGTAAGCAACATTGAGCAAGAATTTTAGGATTTAAATATTAAAAAGAAATAGATAAGCATTTTTACATAAAAATTGCTAAAGCAATTAACCCTTTCGGTACGAGCGTTGACTATAATGCAATGTTGGTTTATATATTGTTTCTTGTTTCGAAATATACTAAACTTTACTATTAAATTAACTTTTTTTAATTTGTGTATTTATTTAAATTAATAAATTGCGATATATTACAAAAATTTATTTTAATACTTCTCTTTTATTTTTGGCTAATAAATAGAGACTTTTGAACAAGTTAATATTAACAACATAACATAATATATTGCAAAATTATTTGTTAAACGTCAGCAGTTTTCGTGCAGTTTGGAAGCACTTTCGCAGCTCGAAGTGTCGATTATCGCAACGCGCTTCATGGCTAACGTTTATCGTACCGAAAGGGTTAATTAATTTAGTATAGTTTATTGCTATAAATTTTAAATTTTGCTTCTAACATTGTTATATTGTTTGTATTTTTTTATTTAAACTTTTTTTCTTTTTTTTTTTCTCTTTCTCTCTTTCTCCGTCTTCTTCCTTCCTTTCCTCTTTCCTTCAATATTAATTTTCTGCGAATAGAGCAATAAAGAATTAAAACAATAAATCAACAATAAATTAGCACTTAATTTTGTTGATATATCCGAATTTGATTTTTAATCGTAAATAGTGTTAGATTAATAGAGATGTAGTCTAGTTTAAGTAAATAAATCAATAATGAATTATGTGGCTTGTTTATTACATAATTTACAGTATTGTTTTTTTAATTAATTACAGATATTTATTTTTTGGACGATTAACATAAATATTCAATGGCAGTGAACGTGTAACATGTTATAATGTAGATAGTATGCCATATTATCCTATAGATAATGTTGTATTCTTCGAAACGTAAGAAAGCGCGTCATCCTAAGGATGATGCGCAACATATATGGAATTCTACGAATCCTGTAAATACTATATTTATATATAGTCAGGATAGTCAACACTTACCTCCTTTTTTTGATGTGACACGATCAGTAAAAACTGATCATAAGATAGGATATACATTTCGCTATTGCAGCTATTGTTCGGACGGGCGTTTGTCGGGAGAGTGCTTTTGTCTTCGTGAGGCGTTCCATCACAAGTTAGATATAACATTGAATTTTGATGTAGATTATTTACCAGTAAAAGTGATAGAATTCTTAATTACGTCTAACGACAAGGCTGAGGCTTTGCTCGAGAATTCTAATGATGCACTTAAGGATTGGACAATTATTGATCTATTGCGCAACTTGACAAAGGATTTACCATTTCTACGACTTAACACTACCATGAAGGCTTATCTTTTTGGATCCAGGATTTCAGATTTAGGTTTCCTCGATAGCGATTTTGATATTTCCATTGATTACGGTAAGTTAATTTTAATTTATAAAATAGCTTTTGTTATAGATATATGTATAGTTAGAATTATTTCTTTAATTTGTTAATACTTAAAATATTTTCCTGTGTATCTGAGTTTATCAAAACAGAAGCATTAACATTTTAATATAACTATCATTGTTGCTATTTATATTGAAATAGTATATATGGAGTTTGTTTACAATACAAAGAGTGTGACAAACATTTTGATATTGATTTATAACTTTTGGAACTTGCAATTATATCAGAAATAAAATAAAATTTTTTTTTTATTTTCAAATATGCAATAAATTAGCAATGTAACAATTTGAAAATTTGGTTCCTGCAAATTTTTATTTATTATATATTACTTTTTATTATTATGAATTATATAAGTATATGCATTGTACCTATTTATTCTAATTTTTACTTTATTCTTGTGATTCAGATTCAGATTCAGATTCAGAAAATGAGCATGAAAGAAGAAATTTAGAACGTCATGATTGTCAGCTTCTGATTAAAGAGATTGCATATTTTCTATCCCTTAAGAAAGAAACGTGGAAAGTGCGCAAAATAATATTACATAGTAGAACACCAATTGTAAAAGTAAAGTATGTTACTGGACATATTTGTGACATTTCAATTGCAAATAAGCTAGCAGTGGAAAATACAAAAATAATTCAGTAAGTATCTTTTTCTTTTTTGACATAAGTCTAAAATAAAAGTATTTTTAGTATTATACTGTATTTTCTGCGATACAAACAAAAATAAAACTTTTTTTCAAGGTGCTTTAATCGTGCTTTTCCATTGTGCCGAAAAATGATTTTATTTCTTAAACGATGGTTGCAGTACTGCGGCTTATCAGGATCGCATCTTATAACAAGCTACGCCTTAACGTGGTGTGCTATTTTTTATCTGCAAACTCTAAAAGTGTTTCCCAGCATCACAAAACTAATTAAATTAAGAAATGAATCACGGCGAATTAATGGTAAGTAGGAATATTTTTTTAAATATCTTTATAAAACATTAAACATTTTTTTATAAATTTAATTTAAACGAGTTAAAGTGTTAACTTAATAAATAAGTTAGAGTGAAAGACAATAATTATTTGCTAATTAATATACTCAACTTATATATTTTATGTTTATATGCTTATGTACTTTTCAGTTTACATATACTCAGTACTTAATTTTTTTATTCAGGTTGGGAAGTTGGTATAACCTATAATTTTCCTATTAGGAAAATAAATTACACTTTTCAAAAACTTTTATTAGGATTTTTTAGGTTCTATGCAAATTTTAACTTTGAAAATTACGTGGTCTGTCCATTGGTGGGTGAACCAATAGAAAAAAATACATTTACCGATCTATCAAATATATTGGAATCTATCAGTTTAACGCAAGATATGCTTCCGTATATTATATATATGCAGAACACAGAAGAGAGGCCTCAAGCTTTTCCCATATCGTCGTTATGTGTGCAAGATCCATTCGATTTGTCACATAATCTTACAAAGGCGATATCTAATTGTGAGCTAGAAAAGTTTCAGACTTATTGCAATTGTAGTGCAAAAGTGCTAAAAGGAATCCGACATATGAAGATCCACTCTCCCACAGTCTATTCGATCCGGGATCACATCAGCTCGTCCCTTAGGCAAACTTAGACAGTCGTCTGGAGGAAAGAGGGTGGGAAATATTGAACGAAAGCACAGAGGGTGATGAGAAAGGGGGTATACACGTTCAGAGGGGGAAAAGGAAATACTATGATAGACTATGTAATAGAAGATAAGGATGTGAGAGAAAGGATAAGAAGGTTACTAATAGGAGACAAAATAGACTCAGACTATCAGCCAATGCAGATATGGATAAAGAGAAAAAGGCAAAGACAAGGAGGAAGGAGGAGCGGGAGTAGGAGAGAGGAAAAGATAAGAAGAGGGGTATGGAATAAGGGGGAGTGTAACGAGTTTAAATAAAAGATGGAAGGGATAATTTTAGATAAACACTTTTATATTTGAACTGACTGAACTACTTGGCTGATTAGATGTATTATTAGTTTCGTTTTATTAATAATTAGTTTTTACATAATTTACATACTATAATGTCAATTCATCTGTATTTTACAAAAAATTTGAATATATTGTATAATATAGATGAAGTAAATTGAAAGATGAAAAAAATGATACCATTGTTTTATGATTTTTTAAACCTATTTTAGCTTATTATACAATTATTATACTATTATTATTACAACTTGTATTATTATTATATAGTAAAAGTTATACTTGTTGCTTTTTAATGTAAAAAGACTATTTCATAAAAGAAAATCTTATATTTAAATATCATGATTAAATTTATTTATAGAAGATTTTAACACTTTTATATAAAGCTTTAATTTATATAACGATCTATTTATATAATGTTAGAAATAACGTTAGAAATTGAAAAAAAGTACAAATGTTGGATGCTGTGCATAATAGAGAAAACATTCCTAGTCTAATATAACACGAAAAAAATCCTCAAAAAATACATCTTATTGGATATCGATTTTTTATATGCAGAACATCGGCTACAGTGTGAATTTCCTATAAGAAATAAAATTTAACTAATTATCTCGTTATATATGTATTATCTGTAAGGAAAAATCGATTTGTTACTCTATTAATCTTTGGCGTGTTGTAGATATTGCTAATATTAATAAATTTTTTATGATGACTATGTAAAGACCTGTGACTATGAAAATATTTCATATCTAACCCGTGTATAAGAATATATATCCAACATCTTTCGAGATTTTGGTCCACCTGTGGCAAATTGCGGGAAATTCAAAGTACGTAAGAAGCATGCAAGGATTAGACCCGTAAAACTGCAGACTAGAGTCATTTATGTCCCCTTTTTATATTTCCTCGATTCGCAGCCTTCCACAAAACAATATAACACCATTTTTATATATTTAATTTATTGTCAAAGATTCAAGCCGATATCATGCATTAAACAACACGCACCTTTGACACGCACACTATTGTATGGATTAGTTATTCCCGGCACCGTTGCCACACAGTGTCGCCACAGATCTTGGATACCAATAGCGTTTTTGACTGGCATAGGTTACTTGCTCTCTTCGTCACACACAGATTGTGTCTGACGAAGAGAGCGAATATAAGTCTCTACCATTGAACTATATACCATACTGGAACGAGCACAGGCTACCCCCTCATTCGACAAAACGGTCAGACAAGGCAATGACTCGGTACCGGATTTCTCTTTCTATCTCGTCTACTCTCGACTAATAGTAGCTGTGAACACGTGACCAAAACTGTTGGTTAGATAGAGAGATCCGGGTCCGAACAGCTATCTCCATCTGACCGGTCGAGAACAAAGGCGTGCTCGTTCCAGTATGGTATATATTTCAATGGTCTCTACTTAAGATAATCTTGAATATAAGAACGGACTATGAATACCGGCCAAAGTAAGTACTATTGAATTAGTAGTATTCTTTTTTATCAACGATAGTTTAGAAAAGAATCTACTTAATTGATCGAAGTTAAATTGTTCATTTACCTTTCTTTATTTTAGACGAGAGGGCGCAAGTAAAGATTATCATCATTGTGTCCGGTGTTATTAGTACGATCTGTGCATTTAAATTGTTTAAATTAAATTCAGTTGTATTGTTTGCAATATTGGCGATTAACTGCAAAGCGTAGATTTTTTACGTTTAATGCAAGTGAAACACTGTCGCAATATTCACAAATCATGACGACTACTATGACGGAAGCGCAGCAGCCAGATTATAGAAGATATACAGAGGTATAGGTTAGGGATCAAATGCTTATATGTAAATATTGTTAAGTAAAATATGACAGTAGGTCTGTTTTTTATAGCTGAACTAGCTGCACTAGTTCAGCTATAAAGAATAGATCTAGTGTCTATGTATCAACAAAAATTAAGAAAAAAATTAATTATTTATGAATTGTTTAACACATAAGTTATACCAAAATCAATGAATATCTCTTTAATGACAGATACTGTGGCCAATTTAAAATTTATTTTTGTTTAAATTTATTTAGCAAAATGTCGAGAGAATTTATTATTTATTTCAGCTACAGTTTTGTGCTTTATTTATTTCTATATTAAATTCCACTTGAAATCAATTGAAAAGTATAGTTTTGTTATTTATTTGGCTTTTTAAATTTAAATCGCAGAAAATCTCATATATTTATTAAAGTATTTGTCCTTAAAGCTGTGTAAAATATATGTAATATATATGTATTTCCTCATAGAATATATTTATTGTATTGCATAAATTGTAGAAATTGCAGTTGACACCTGAGGAGGCAAATGTCTTTATGACATGTATGAAAAACTCAAGTGTCATTATGCCCACACTTGTCACCGCAGCTATTGGATATGGAATTTTCAGAGTGACTCCATTTCGCGCACAAGCAAAATATGCTGCGCTGATTGGTGGTACATTGGGCATGATATCCAGCAGAATATTAATGTCTCAGTTATGTCTTGCAAAAGTTGCTTCCATGCCGAACAGTAATCTCAGAGAAAAATTGATACAAGCGGGCTATTACAAAGATAACAGGCCTATGAGGTATTATTATTTCTAGACAAGTGTTGTCTGCGTTTGTTTACATTGTGAGTCATTCGTCTTTGTCTTTAGTGAGCAGCATAGGTATAGGTTTCAACCGATGGATGTGCAATCTAAAGTTCACAGTTCCGAGGACCCTTCAACAAACATAGTCTTTGATGATTATCCGCCAATGAATTCATATGACACATATTCTAGTCTTAACGATAATAGTAAGTTCTGTGAAAATTATTGTTAAATCTTATATTTAATGTAACAGAGTAACTATAAATTGTATATTTGAAGGTGATTTTCGCCCCTCCGAGGATACGGATCTAAGTGAACCGCTAAATATGCAAAAAAACATTAGTTACGATGAATTAAGGCATAAAAATAGAGAAGAATACTATAAGAAAAATAAGCAATGGTACACTCCTCCGGCAGAAAGACCTCCGGCAGCGAACGAGACAACAAGACGTGCTCCTACAACAAGTGCTTCATCGATGGAGGAGAAAAATAAGTACGGCGATGTGTGGGATTGAAATCAGGTTGAATTTTTTTTTATCATTGCGTACTGCCAGTGTTACATATGTACATAAATATATATACGTAGATTGCATTTTGAAATACACGAACGAGATTCGGAAATATTTAAATTTGATGAAATATGTGAATAAAATAGCAATATAAAGCGTATTCATACTAATTGTGTCAGGATAATCAAACACCACACGACGATTCCAAGACTCGCATTCTTATTATCTAAGTGATGTATTGAATGATTCACGAGTTTAGATGGAAATACAAGACTAACTTGTGCACCGCTACACGTAATTGAATCACAATCGCGCATGCAGCGCGAGATACAACGCGAGATAGCGACGAGGGACACAAACGGCTATGAGGCGGCTAATTGATAGATGACGCCAATCCGTAAATGCGCGTAAACGCAGCTCGCGCGCGAGAGGCGGCTATTCACAAAGCGGCGCTATATGTATCGGTAATGTAATGCCATGTAATATCGCATATATGCTCTCTCTCGTCTCCATCATTGAGTTGATGGTGTCATCTCCGGCCGCGCGTCGTCACCTTGACGTACCTCAGAAGAGAATGCGTTCGCACACTTCCCTGTCATAAAAGCCCGCGCCGCAACGCATTCGTTCCCTATACTTTCCATAAGTTAGCCGATAATTGTCGTTCGGTATTTGCGACAGGTACGACTAACGTCGCGCCTGTGACCTGAACCCTTCCTCCTTCTATTCGCGCGTCTCACGGATCAATTTACATCTGCGAATTGCTACATTTTCTCGCGTACGCGTGTTGCTTGCGAACCGCGATTATTTTTACCGCCCCCTTATTGTCGAGCGACATATTCGCCGCCTCGAAGAATTGAAATTACTCTCTTGCCTCAAGTTGCGATCTTAACAGCTCCAACACCGGTGAAATATTTTATTTTAATGTTATCTATGTTATCTTAATGTTATATATTCAACTTATAAGATCATATATGAAGTTATGAGCGCGATTTTTATATATATGCATATTAGCATGAAAATCTTGTTGCAGCATTTTACAATTAAAAAATTGCAAAAGCTATTCATTAATTAATAGGAATTATATAAATATTCGGATTTTAAATAATAGCAGTAATAATAATCACAAACGCATTTTGTGTTCTGAAGGTGCGTTTAAAGGTCTCGAAGTGTGATTTAGAGAGGTTTCACACGATTAATAATTTTTTTAAAAGGTTCAGTAGCATAGCACGGCATTAATAGGATCCGGTTGATTTACTTCGATATCTCGTTTTCCCGATCTCCTCGCTGCTGTTCATTGCGTTGAATCATGAATGCGATATGTCGATGTGCACAGAGTATATAGACGGTCGTTTCACTTCACTCACCGTGAGTGTGAGTTGGCAGCCATTGGTTATCGGACGCGATGGACGCGACCAATGAACAAGTATTACTCCCATTCATAAGTCGCGTCGCTTCCGTAGGGTACAGTGGGGGGAATAGCGGTGCGCGTGTGGTACACCCTGCGACTTGCGGTTAAATTCTCGCTGACCGGCTGACTACTCTTGCGATTTCGCGCGTATTCACTTTTCCATAGATCCTTCTTCAATTGATCAAGTCGCTTTCAACCCTTCAAAGGCCTTAATAATGCATTCTACGACGTATCTCACTGTGGTTTGTCATACAAACTTATAATCTTTCTTCTAGGTATACATTTTTTAATTCATTTGTTGCGTAAATTATTTAATTACAGTAACCTAACTTTCGCACACTTTGCATACTTTACTTTATAATTATCCTTGATTTCCATTTGCATTGAGATGAATTCCGCATCTCTACGCGTTTTTATTTTTCTTATTTATCGCTTATGCCGCGTATCAACGCCCGCATAGAAATCAGGTTATTTCTGATTTTTTTTACTTCAACATTCTCTTATTGAAAAGAAAATATAGCAAACAAATTAGTAAGTTTATTGAATATATTTATCATATGTCTCTTGTCATTATAATACAGTTGTGAATTTGCGCGGTAAATTTGTAACTAAAATTGATACAATATCAAGCGTTTGTGGTTACGTAGCGGTTTTAATGATTACACATCGTGCCTTCTGCGAGGCGAGAAAAAGGGATTTCCGAAACACATAGTCGCTCATGCTCATTATCTCGTTTCTCGCGCAGTAATTTGTTTCTCAGGAAACATCACCCGGGCGCGCACAAGAAATGTAATTCGCGCTGCATTACGTGTATTCCGGTGAAATTGCGGGGGAGGGAGGGGGGGGGAGGGAGGCTTCTGGTCCCAGGAAGCTCGTCAGAATTTCGAGCGGCGCAGCATATATACATATATATATTTATATATATGTATATATGTGTGCATGCATCGCCGAGCGTCACGATTCACGTGCCTGGTTAAACGATCACGTGTAGAAAGGGGAGTCATGCAGGTGCAGGTCATGTGAAATATTTGCACTTTGTCGTAATTTGCGTAACCCATTGCATATATAATAAATCCGCGCTGCGCGCGGCTAAAGCGCCGCGATAGAAAATCGTTTCACAATCTAAAGAGAAAGGGAACCTTTCTGCCTCGTCTCGCGCGCCCGAAAGGCGGGAGGAGGGAATGGGGAGAGAGTAGCGCGGAGATGCATGCGTCCGCTTCTCTCTGTGTACGATCGTGAGGCGCCCGAATATCGCGAGAAGCGCGTCGCATTCTGTTTTTGAGATAAATTGAGTTGTTACCCGTGGCCAATTAATGCCTATTCCCAGGTTTGCCACCTTTCCGGTTTAGGAGGATCAAGCGGAGTCTTCGGGCTATACCGAAGAATTAAATCGAGATTTAGACAGTTTGCTCTCATATTTTACACAATAGCGAGCTTTTTTGAAGATCTTTTGATCGAGATTTACACATGTAGACGGCAATTATGATGACAAATGCGCTAAGAAGCAAAATTCCTTTTTTAAAGGTTAAACACGACCTTTGGCTCAAAATTGAGGTAACGTTTACCTGCTTTTTTTGTAATAGATATATTTGTCATAATGAACTTTTAAAATTCAACGATCGATCCGTCACTTGTTATTCAGTTCTTGCCGCAATGCAGTCATCGGTGAATTTAGAAAGATAACACGCATTGCTATTTCAGCATCTTAAGCGTATGAGAATAATCATATGAGGAATAAATATAAGAATCTAATAAACCACAGTAATGATTTCATAATGTATTGATGCACGTGTGAATACGAATATATTTGGATTTATATTTTTATCGCTTTGAATCTCTTCTTTTTATGGCGGAAAAAATACATAATTTCGGTTAATTTGCGCGAAATTTTCACTCTGCAGCTTTCTCATCCTGTTGGAGAAAGTTATGCGATCGGGCATGTTATACATTTTATTTTGGCATAATATTACATCGATAATAAAATTAATCATTATGCCAATTTCAGATAAGTGACTGTTTTACGGTACTTAAGAGGGTAGACTCGGACAACGGCGAAGTGACGTCAGAGAGACACGTGACACGACGTTACGCGAGTCATTCGTTTTTCTAATTCGCGATTTTGTCACGACATGCCGTCTTGTCATCGATCAGAAGTAGCAAAAAAGCAATGGTTTCCGATGGTTTTAGCGGTGCACGAGGGATGATTCGTCGAACAGTTTCGACGCGGTGGAAGAAAACCTCGTGTGGCCTCGAGGGCGGGGGAGAAACATCGGGAGAGAAGTGTGCCAAAGTCGGAGGTAGGAGTCCCCTCGATAGCTCACGTCGATAATCGCGCCGTCGAGACGCGCGGGCGGCATATTTGCGGTGCAAGAAGGACGCGATGATTCGCTGGACATACGCCCGATCGAGACGACGGAATCGTAGGAGATCGAAGGTAAGTGAGTAGGGGAGGACACCTCATGGAGAAGGGGGAAAGTGTACGTATATATACGTATATGAATACTCGTCGCGCGACGATGGGAGAGAGAGAGAGAGAGAAAGAGCGAGGAGAAGAGCGACCGGCGCGCGAAAGATAAAGAAAGATCGAGAGTGAGGGAGTGAGAGGCACTCGCGATGTCGGGACGGGGGCGTGCGCTCGATGGCCGCCTAGACCGCTCGAATCGGTCGCGCCCGGGGCGTGAGCCGGGCAGGCGAGCGCGGGCGCGCTCGCGAGAGCAAGAGAGAGTAAAAAGGAAGAGAGGGAAGAGAGAGAGGAAGCAACACGCTTGCCGTGGAGGGCTGCGTTCTCCAAGGCAGTTACTCTGGAACCGTTGCCTTGACGACACGCATTCACGCATGCGCGTCCGCCCGCGACACCCGACAGTGGACGTGCGATCACAGTCAAAGAGCTTGCGCGCGCCAGTTTCGTCCGTCGTTCTCGCCTCCGGTATCACCGTCGTTTCCACCACCACCCATCGGATACCACCACCCTCGCCTCACCGTGAGTCCTCTGCTCTCTTTCTCTCCGTCTCTCTCCCACCCTTTTTTCTCTCCGCCCTCGTCCTCGTGGTCCTCCGAGTGGCGAACACGCGAGCGAGCGAGCGCGCGCGCGCGCCCTCACGTCAACGCATTAACGGGAGTACGCGCTGTCACCGTCGAGAAACGTCATTTCGCGGATCTCGCGGCGGCCGCCCGACCACGATCGGCGCATTCGATTGCTCGCGCGCGCGCCCGCACACGCTAAACTTATCCGATTTCTGCGAAGAGCGCTTTCTTTCGCCGTTGAATGTTCTATCGCGTTTCGCGCGAAAGTTACACTGAAAACGATCACACGTTTGATCGCGTCGCGAGTGTTATTGGTCGACGAGGAATGTTCTATCAAGAAGTGTTTGTTTGCAGGAGAAGAAAAAAATTTGCCGGATGAAGAACCGTCCCAGTAGATAATCGACGATGCTAATCCGCTAGAGAACAACTTCCTAAAAAAGGAGTTCAAATATCAGTCATCTGCATTCATCACACAGTGAATACGAGGAGTGATAGAGCCGATCAAATTAGTTTCGAACGCACCCGATGTGTCCGTTCAAGAATCATATCGCAAGAACTCGAGAAACATCAGTGAGCCGTGATTTGAACTCAAGGTTGGAAGTGTCGAACGCTTTTTTCCGCTCGTGTTAGTGTTTGTCACAGCGGCGCGTCGGAAACGGCGTCGCGACGATCGTGTTACTTGGTTTCACCAACGGAAAATAACTTCGACTATTGATCAAGAAGATAGCTTGTTCACAGAACGCGATGTCCGCGACAGCATTCGACGAGGATTCGGTAGCCCGGTGCGGGATAGAGCTTCGCGCAAGGGATTTGCTGGACTTGACGTCGCGTGGGACGTCAACGCGATTCCGATGCACATGATCTCCGTGAATGTCAGGTATCGTCGACTATCGCGAATTGATGAGTGACATTGTGAAACCGTCGCGATATAATTCTCATTCAGAGGATGATAGCACCTTGTCTTTTTGCTTGATTGCAGTTTGAATCCAAAGAAAAACGGCCCAGGATCTTGGCAGAGAGATATAAAGACTGTGGTCACTAAAAGAAGAGTATCACAGAGATCAAGATGAAATCTAGCCGCAGAAGGTGGTAACGCTTTGTCCTCCATCTCGATTTATCTAAAGAGATCTCCAAGATCCTAGAAGAAGAGCATAATCGAAGGATAGAATCGATTTTTTCACGTCGCACCGAGAAACTCTTCGTCTGCGACGAACACGACGGAATAAATAACAGCTGCGAGGATTTTGCAATACGATCCGCAGCCGAACCGATCCCTCGTTGCACCTCCGCAGAAGATGATAGCACCGCGTCTTCAGCCTCAATCCGCCTGAAAAGACGAGAGATCTAGATTCTCGTCGAGGAAGGAAGCAGGGATCCGGCGAACCGACTTTAGCCGTCGGCCGGTGGATATCACGCCGTGAGTGCGGCGGCGGCGGCCTGCAGATTGGATGGTGCCGCGAGGATTAACCCTCGGCAGGACGACGACGACACGGGAGCCGGATCCGGAGCAGCTGCGCTTCTACGATTCTCCGCCACGTATGGACGCGAGCGTCTGCTGTCTGCCCGCCGGTGCCGCGGCTACCACGGGGGTCGCGCAGCACCCTCATCCGGCATCTCTACCCGGTCTGCCGTCCGCCGTCGGCGTCCAGCCGCCGACGTTACAGCCGACCTACACCGGCGCGCAGTACGCCGCCGATCAGATAGTGCCCGACAGGACCCAGCCCGACGGACCCCTCGCCACGGTGCTCGGATGCAGCGCGCAAGACGGCTGGCAGCACATCTCGTCGACGACGACGTCCGGCACCGGGATCACCGGGGCCGTCACCGCCACCACCACCGCGTACATCGATTACTCATGGCTGCAAATGCAGGTAAGAGTCAGCTTTGTAATCACAGAATCCCGCGGCGTGTTTACTTCGTCTCGTATGAGTAAACATAGCAAGTAGCGAACATGTTGACGTGATAATGTCTCAATTCTGACACGACAATGCAATGGAATTCGTCGTGTAAAACAGATTTCAAGTTGCGATTATAACATCCGATCTTAAGATGAAGCGAATAACACAATAGCAACAAGCAGCTTATTTCTACACATGAGTAAATCTCATGCAAACAAGTATCTTTCATATTTCTCATGAATTAAAAAAAAAAACGAATTTAGACAATCTATAATTTGCAAAAGAATTTGAGATAATTTTCTTTATAATTTTATTTATTTGTTTATAATTCTGTGTATAATTCTGTGCCGTGTAATATAGGAAAGATTGAAAAATACCGATAAAATACATCGGTAACGTGTTTAGTATGTTTGCGTATCTGAATTCTTCAAATGTTTTCTATTATATAAAATTATAAGCGGATTTCTATCTCTAACTCTATCGAATATTATAGATTGCCTAAAATAAACTCTAGAGTTGCGCAAGGGGAGAAAAAGATTGGCAATGACTTTCGATCGAGAAATCGAATGAATCTAACGAGAACGGTAGTAATAATAGCTTTGTTACGACTTTCGTATTCCTGGCAGGTGACAAATCTCGATTAAGCTTAATTTTGTATGCAGCATCGATAGCGCAAATGTCGATTTAATTAAGCAGTAACACGTATCGAGTCTCGTTTAGTAAGTGAATGTACCGATTTCGAAGGAGTCGTTTAATTTCTCTCTTTTTACAGCAGATTTCGAGAATGTCGATACGATCGCGCACGTGTCGGTCAGCTGGCTACGCCAGTTTTTAAGATTTGACATAAAACGCGCTTGTGCGAGATTATAGGTTTTCAACGACACCGAACGTTATTTAATTTTTCATCGGATACATTCATCATCGGCCGTAATTGTGTTTAAAAAAAAATAAAAAACTAATCCGCCCGGGAATCGGTATTCAATTAGCTCCGGTCATTGTATATTTCGGAAATCAATACCTATTGCGATTAATGCGATTTGTATTATCGAATTCTTTCACATCGATATCGGAATTCCACTTTGAAAATCAAGTGTCGCGATTGATGCGATTTGTTTTATCGGATTTTTCTCATTGATATCGATTTTTCATTAATGCCAATGTAATTTACATCGATTGGTGCATCGAGAGGAAGATAGCTGATCGGAGAAATGACGGATGTTTGCGTTCTTAATCATTCGTCAATCGCGCACGGCTCGTTTTAGCTCGGTCCGCCGCGGCGCGACGATAATGTATCAATTCCCGGGAAGCGCTAGATCGTAAAATAATAGAGCGAAGTAATAATATCCATTACTATTATCTCGGTACACGAGTGAGTACTATGTGTTCTCCCCTTATAGACGTAGCGGCGTCTCCGCCACGTAAAGCCACGCTGTTGACAGGGTAAATATCCTTTGATACCGCGCCGTCCGTCTGGCACACGCGTCTCTCCTCTACCTTACGGAGGAAGTTATCTATGTGGCACGCGTGTGCGTGCTTGCTTGCTTGCGTGCGTGCCTACGTCCGTGCGATCTCTCACGCCACAAACGAGAGCGTGTACTTTTCACATTACGAAGGCCGCTTCGTCTGTCGTTAAGGCTCCAGGATTTTCGTACAGACCGCTATTTCGTTAATGAATTCGTTGGCTTCGCACATAGGGTGTCTCGGAGTTACCGGGAGGTCGTTTTCGACCGCGGTATTTTCGCCAATTCGACAAGGTAAATTCTTCTTTAACGGAAATCTCGAGAAATGGCACTACTTTATACTTAAAACATCAGGATCCTCTACTCGAGTGAAAGATAGAAGATATTATAAAAAGAAGTTAAAATTTTCGAGTGCTACTTAAAAATAGAAGGATTCTGTTGTATTTTACACTCTTCCAGTTGAGAATACATATCTCTCCAACTTGAGATAATGTGTTTGTTAAAGTGCTCTTGAAATTATCTCAAGAATATGATTTTTACTTAACATCTCTCTTAAACCTTAGTTCACGAGCTGTCTTTAATCATTCAATTGCTCGTTATTTTAATGATCTTAGAACTATAATTATCTTAATATTTTCGTAAAAAAATATTGGTCTTAAGACGAAAATAATTTGTTATCAAAACAACATCCAAGAATTTCCATAAATAATGTATAGATATTTTTTACAGAAATTTATTTTTATGATATTAATTTTCTATATTACCGTGTGTAATATTTTCTTTCGTTTCATATTTCACGATTTTTATCTCATCATAACAAATTGATTTCCAAGACTCAAATCTATCAATGGAAAATTTTCCGTTCACGATGTTATCACACGCATATGACAGTTTGATGTTTCTCGGCCGAAAAGTTAATTTAGGAATTTTGCACAACAAACATCTATTATAGCCTTCAATCGGAAACCGGTTTTTTGATACCGTTATGCTCGACACTGTGTTTTTTTGGCATGTAAATGTCAATAAAAATATACAAATTCCAAAGAAGCGTGTAATTAGATGCATCGGTGATGTCCTACGTGTTTACATTCATTAAATTTGTAATATTTAAGATTCGTACTTTTTTTTTTACATAATTAATTTTACATATTGCTTTGTAAAGTATAAAAAAATCGGTGAGTTGAGTATCTTGAAATATCTATGCAAATGCGCCATTAAGGTATCCAATTATGTAGAAGAAAAAAACAACAAAATATCTCTAGAATTTGGAAGATTTTTTATTTGTGGACGTTGATATTATATTTTTGGAAATTTGAAAACTTCAATTATAAGGAAATCGATCCTGTTCAAAGAAATAGTTCAAAAGATAGACGGAATATTTTTGAACTTTATCCGAAAATCTATCCGCTCTTGTCGCGTATCTTTGCCACGTACGATTATAATGCAATAATAATAATTTTCTTATATTCTGCAATTATCATTTTTCTTGGCGACGCGAGGGATTTCTTGATCTCACGCTGCGGTCGAGCCTAGTCAGAAACGCACAACTAAATCGCGACCGGTAATTAGCCGATACCCTCGACGCAATCTAAACGCATTGTGACGCGTGTAAGATAATAAGCGGACGGAAATCCACGATTATTGTGCCGCCCGAGCCAGAAAGGACATCCACAACTACCACCGGACGAACCATTTCCACGGTTCACCGCCCTTCGTTTCAAAACTGCGTACGATTACCGTTCCGCCGCCGATTATTTCAGTCGCTGTACAAATACGAACAGGGGGGGAGGGGGAAGGGCGAAGGGGGCAAAAGCGCGATTAACATCGAGCGGAGATGATGACCTAACCGAAAATACGACGCTAATATTGCTCGCGTCGCGCTTCGCTTATTCCTCCCGCCTGACGACAAACACTTTATCTCGGAATTAAACGTTTCTGACTCACAAAGATAGTTTTATTGCAATCTTCTCATATCGCATACATCTCCGGATATATTGCCCAATAATTATTATTACTCACACGTGGGCGTTCGTCGCGCTATTTCCGGCTTTAAATTCTTCGTTTCGCCGTTAAAATTCTGCAGATGCCAGTGCCAGATTTCTCAAACGCATCGATAAAGAATTCCTCACAATAAGGATATAGCGGAATATTTAGATTGACGCGAATGCAGAGAGCGAAGATGCATTAGTGAAATTAGCCTTTTCTCCACGTTCGCGATGATTCCGCGGCACTCTCCGAGTTGTCGTCGTATCATGTTAGCTAGTGACTCACGTCGAGAATCGCGCACGAGTGGGTGTATAATCACTTACATTGTATAGATACTTGCTTATACATGCAGTCGAAGTCGGTCGCATATCGTTGAATCGCATGTTTTTTTTTTACCTATCTTTATCTGTCTTTGATTGTTATCTTCGAGAGCAACAGTCAACAAGAAATAAAAAATTTGCATTAATTAGATAATAATTATTATATAATATGGATAATTAACCAGCGTTGTCAACAATAGAAAAAATATCGCACAAGAATTTTAATCCTTTGTGGGCGTAAGTTGAAATATTGCCGACATCGTAATCTTTTATCGCGGACTTAAAGTGTGCGTGATATTTTTAAAGCCACTGAACTATTAAACTGATATGTATTTTGGATCATATTTCCTTTTATCGTTATGCATTCTATGTATTATTTACAAATGTGTTAATTTTCGCGTGGAACAATTATGAGTATAATAAAATTATAAAAAAAAGAAATATTTGCCTGCAAAGGATTAATCTGAATAATATTAAGAATTATTGTGTTTAGGAATCATTTGATCAGTGAATGAAACTTTAATGCTACGGCAGGTCAGCTAGAATAAGCAATTTGCGGAGAAGTAATGTTCTCTTTTTTTGTTTCTTCTTTCGCAATGTCGAGTGCTCTCAGAGCGAGCTTAAAAAAGCTCTCTGCTGTAATGTTTTCGTCGGCTGATTGTTCCGGATTCAAAATAAACGCGGAAGTACGCGGAACACGCGCAAAACGTCGCGCGCATTAAACGTCCGCAAATATTGTTACTTGCTACCGCGTCGCTATTATTTACGCTCGAGCACGTTGTAAATTTCCATAAGTACGCACCAGTTGCAATTTTCTCCTTCACGTTTCTTGGTTTTCTCCGACAATTGTCAGCGGCGCACGGCGTCTACACCGATTGCCGTTTACTTCATTATCGGTCAGAATTTTTTTTTTGCAAAAACTGAGACATGGAAAGCACACGAATTACATTGTCATTATTAATAAATATAAAATTTGAAATAAGTTTACACGGTTCAATACGTCACCACTTTTTAGATAATTTAAAAAATCTTGGAAATTCTTGCTTTCGATCATTTAATGTGACGTTGCATTATCGCTGATTTCTCATGTCTTTTCCTTCTATTTCCGAATCAAGAATAGAAGTTAATAATTTTGAAAGATTTATAAAGTACTATACAACACCGCTTATGTGCATACAGAATATTAGTAGATAATATTCTGCTTGAA